CCTAGCTAGGACCGTAACAGGTACTACCACCCGGTCAGAACGGTCCCGGAACGGCAGCAATTAAGAGGTGGTTTTACTCACCTCAAAACCTCCAATCTCCAAATCAGGAGCCCTACAGCCAGAATGTACCCGAACGTCCTTTCTTGAGCCAAATATTGAAACTAATGATTTAAGCTCTGTCAGGAGAGTGAAGTGTCGTCCATATATCATTTTATGAAACCTTTTTACGGCAAAAATCAATACAAGAACGTTACGTTGGAGTAAGAGATGTAAAAGCTTGCGTAATGGCTTTTTCTGTACCATTAGCGAATAGGTGTGAAATAATTGAACCCACTCCGTATTTGGAGGCATCCACTCCTACAACTATTTTCTGGGCCAGATCAAAATGTGGGAGGAGTAAATCTGAGCTGAGCAAGGATTTGATTTTTTTTTTTTAATTGACAGTTATCATAGCAAGATCATTTGGTATCATTTGCTACCAGTCTACTGAGTGATTTTGTTTGTGTAATGATGAAAGAAAATCTCTATAATGACTTCCTTAATCGAGAAATGAGCGAAAATGCTGACATCCGATGGTGGCGGCATGCGCTGAATAGTTGTAATATTCTCCCGGTCTGGTCAGCGTCCTTCTTGGGGAAATATGAATCCGAGACATTTGATTGATGTCAAGAAAAACCGGCATTTCCCAAGGTCGAAGATGAAAACCAAATTCTTCAAAACGTTTGTAATCCGTTTAGTCAACACATGTTTTAAGCGAGTAGCGATAAGAGAACCCTCGCACCGTTGATACCGGTCAGCATTTGTCTGGTGAAAAGTCGTAGTAGTTGGTTTTATATCAAAAAGGCAATCCGGTGAATTGAAAAAGTTCACGGTGTATTATATTAAGTCGTTCCTTAGATATGGAAGACACTTCTACTTGTAGGTAGGCTTCTGCGAGATCAAGTTTTGCATATAAGTACCACCATTAAGCAAGGTAGATATATCCTCTGGGTAATGATCTCCGTGTGCAGTACTGACGTCAGTTGGAAAGTCAACACAAAACAGAATGGAGTCGATGATTTTTTTTTTTAACTACCATAATTGATGCGGCCCTCTGAGTGTAAGAGACACGTATGTGCACAATCATTTCTCCCAGACGGTTTTTGCTCATTGTTAACGAACTCTAATGCAGCATATGGAATAGGCCATTTGTGTCGAAATAAGTCGCCTCTTCTTGGGTAAATAGTCCCGTATTGTTATTGAACACTATGGAAAAGCATTCTATCAAATGTTTGGAATGGTCTGTGATAATACATAAGAACGATAAGTTCCTGGTTATCAGGTTATATACAGAATTGAGTGGGACATCGAAAATTCCAAGAGGATCAATGAAATTAATGCCCAGTAGGTTATAATTAGTATTTGCTAGATGCACTTATTTCATTCAATTTTCTACAATCAAACTCGCCGGTAATTTGAACGCTGCTCCTGTTGCATTCCAGGCTACATATTTTAAAAAAAAGAAGAAAAAAAAAGAAACGTGTTGAAAAATCCTGTTTTGAGATAATTCCAATGAGAATTGAAGCCAGATTTAACTAGACAAAATTAAGATTAAACAAACGCGACACCGTCCGTCCTTCTCCCACCAATAAGAAAGACACCATTAAGGTATCCACGAAGATATCAAATAAAATAAAAACATATGTTTCAAGTCAACTATCCAAAAGAAAAGATAATTTCACCGACATTTGTCCAGAGAAAATTTTATATCCAAACATTAATTCAGATTCCCTTGAATAAAAAGTGAAAAAAAATACTATTTTGAAGTGCCCATGGACAAAGAAAAACGCCTCTAAAATAAAACTGTTCTCTATTATTCATCTGAGAGTGCCTTTTTTGCCTTCTATCAACATGACTGATGCTAACCTTCAGCAGAGTTACTTATTATGCCTTCTTTGAATAATAAATGAGTTTGGCTAATGGTCGTCATCGTTTATGGGAAATTAAAGTTATATCTGACATATCGATCTGAAGACGAGCCTCATGATCAGCGATATGGTGGGCGACATATTTGCGTTTTGATTGCGAATGAGATAAAAACGTGGCCTATCAAAAGATTGATAATGCGGACGAATGGTGATGTGTGTCGGTTTGTGCTGCGGAACAGGTCCTTATATCCCTTTTTCTATTGCATTAACGTCAGCGAAGTTATTTAAACGGACTGTGACGAACAAAGTGCCATTTTGCACAGTTTCAACAAGCAGACAGAGGTTTGCGGAATGACGTTAGGTCTGATTAAATCTTGATGATGAATTGTATTGACATTAGTAGCTATTGAATTAGCCGATTACTGCACCATAGTTGAATCATGTTTGAGATTGTCCAATCGCTGATATTCAGCCGCCTCTAGTGGCAGATTTTGTTCAATTTTACCCAAAATATGTGTGCGAATGTCAATGTCACTGGGTGAACGTAAATCACAAGCGTAAATCAGATATTGAAATTGTAAGTCAGTGATGGATATTATCTTAAACCGTTGACATTCCCGAATAAGTATGCCAACATATGCAGAGAAATCACCAGTGTCACATTCCGTTAAGACAATGAAATTAGTATTGAATAAAGAAGATTGCTCACAGAAATTTTTTTCCAATACGTCTAGAGTCTGGTTGAATGAAGAGTCGCGTGGAAGTATGGGAATAATATAGTCGCAGTACGGACTGAATTTACGTAACAAAAGCCGGACCTACCAGTCATCTAACTGGTCAGAAAAATTCACCCATAAAATGGACTCGTAGCGACTGAACCACGTCTCCAAGATTAAGTTAATAGCCGGGTCAAATCTGAACTCTCTTATGAAGCTGGGGGTGGACTCAACCGTAGATATGTTAGAATTAGCCGCTGTTGAGGGCTTTGACGGAACGTTTTTCGGTAATATCTGTCCATATTTCTGAGATGAGTTATTGTAAATACTTGCACTATTTACTTTTTTCGGACTGTTATCCCCATCTTTGTCATATTCACGACGTTTAGGCGCTCCAAGTGGATAAAAGCGTTGGTGTTGAAGTAATCCAGTGACTTGAACCAAGGAGTTGTGAGTTCAATACCTGGCCTCGGCAGAGGTGAACAAACACTTGAAGAAAAAAAAAGAAGAAATAACTGAAACTGAGATATCCAGAAAAGGCATGGCACGTGGAACTAGAACAATCTACCCCAGTGGACTAAATAAAGAGTTCAGTTTGAAATTCCAACGTAGATCACCTGAAGAAGGCCGGAGCGTGTAACGACCGAAACATCGCGAATATGGCAATAAAGGTCAGGACAACAGTCCGAAGAATGTAAATTGTGTAAATAGTTACAATCCCTCATTTCAGAATTATAGACAGATCATAAAGATTGCCGGTGCGTACAACGGCCAAAATATCGTGAATATGATAATAAAGATGAAAACAACAGTCTGAACAATGTAAATTGTGTAAATAGTGACAATACCTGACTCAGAAATATAGACAGATCCCGAAGAAGGCCGGGGCGTACAACGGATGAAACGTCATGAAGATGACAATAAAGATGAGGGCAACAGTCCGAACATTGTAAATAGTGTAAATAGTTTTTCAACAAATAATTCCGTCAGTTTTATATGTTGTTGCCACCGTTGATATTATGAAATAGTTTATAGCCTCGTCGCCAAAAAATGATTAAAATCGGCGTTCTGAACTGATCTGCCATGACACATAGTCAAAAGAAATTCTTTTTATGTATATTATCGGTAAACTAACCAAAATTAATGCTTGACTAGTCTTAAAATAATAAAATAATACAAATTTCTGTCTGAAATTCTGGGATGAGTTTTCATGATTTACACTATTTACAACATATTCAGACTATTATCATAATCTTTGTTGTTATCAAAACGTTTCTCCCAGTGTACCTTTCGGCTTTCCTCAGGTGTATATTGATCTGGGTAACCTACATGCAATTCAGAACTGCACCTAACCTGCTTGCTGATAAATGCCGCAATTGTTACTGCTGCCTGTCATGTTCTGATTGCTGCTGCTGTTGAAGATTTTCTGTCATGTCTTTCTTGCTTTATTAGCGGCTCCCATATTGTATTTATTTCCATGCTAGGCCTACTAAGGAGATCCTTATAGCCTAACATAAGAATAGATTCTTTCAAACGTCAAACTCTCCAGTGTTCTTCCTCGTCCAGTATTTTCACTTCATTCCACAGGAGCTGATGACTACGCACTTCCATCACCTGAGGAAGTCCGGGAGACACAACGACCGAAACACTATTATTACAACAACAAAGATAAGGACAGTAATCCGAATATAAATAGTGTAAAAAAGTTTTAAATATGTTCCACTAAGAGAACAATAGGCAGTTAAAAGGTCAACTGAAAAGCATCTAGCCAGGATTTAATATTTAATGAATATCCTATGGCATGAATTGTTTAGCGAAGGTGTTGACACCTCTATATAAAATTTGACGTCGCCTGACGTCGCCATTTGACTATGTGTTATGGCAGACCAGTTCAGAACACTGATTTTAATCATTTTTGGCGACTAGGCTATAAACTATTTCATAATATCAACGGTGGCAACAACATATGAAACTGACGGAATTAGTTTTGTCTGAAGTCTTACTGTATATGAAATGGAATGTTTCGGAGAATATTTTAACGACCATTTACCAAGGAAATTTTTTTTTACTCTTTTAATACGGTTTTGTTAACTGATTGACCCTTTTTACGGCTTATCAACACTTTGCAGGTTATTTAAAGCCAGAATTTTTTTTTTAAATTATAAGGATTCTTTTTTTTTAGAGAGAGAGAGAGAGAGAGTAATGGTTTAGTGATACAAGTTTTACTAATTAAGAAGAGGCGAAGCGATGGATTCATACTTTTGTCCCAAAGGGTATTTGCGCCTAAGTGAATATAACGGACTCAACGGGAATTCGAACTCTGCTCTCTGAATAACAATTCCAAGCCATTACCTATTACAACAACTACGCATCTAAGCTTGCAACACCTGGAATTCCCAAACAGTCACCCATCTAGGTAATGACCAAACTCGACGGTGTTTAACTTCTGTAATCGCACGGGAACCGATGTTTCAACGTGATGTGGTCGTATGCCTCTTTTATTACGGGTTCTACATAAAATGAGATTTGCCATACAAATAGCAATAGTGTAGCAATAAGCTTGCGACATTTTGTCTGTGAGGAAAGAGGCTGCAGAGTGGAAAACTAATATTCCCGCTCAAAACCGTGAAGACGAACTGGAAAGGCTGGAAAGTGAAGATTAAATAGCTACATCCTAGATGAACAATTAGTCAATATACTTTTTCATTAATTATTTGATGTTTCTGGACATTTCTTGGGGTGGGGGGTCTTGTAGGTCGGTTATCAACGCGACAAATGGTCCCCAAAACTAGTTTGAAATCTGACTGAAATTAATTATGTCCATTTCAGACGAATAGCTTTGAGAAAGGCAAGCGGCAAGCACCTACTACTTCCTGTTCGCTCTCCTAGCGTCATATGCCTGGATAAAACTATGTCGCTAATGTCACACTACGATAACTGACAGTAAGTATTTAGGTCAACCATTGTCATCTCCATTCGCAGCAATAAAACTAGTTATTTAGTGTGTAAAATTTACATCTGCAGTTTGCTTAAATTAAAGTAAAAAAGCAATTATTGTATTGATTTTTAATTAAACTTTTAATAAATCTTTTTAAGTCTAAACAAAACCTTTGTGTTTGATATATCAACTGTATTTAAATTAAGACAGACAAAAATCTTTAAAATACGAACAAATACATGATATATTTAACAGCGCAAAGCATTTGATTTTGAACTCATAATAAAAGCGACGCAATTCTTGCAATTCATCGTTTCATATAAAAACTCCAGCCATATAAATTTGATATTCGATGATCTAATTCTATTTCCTTAACAACAGTTACGCTTAATTCTCTTTATGGCTATTGTAACTATTTAAAGAAACTCGTCTCTGTAAAAAAGAAGAATAAGATAAGGAAAAGCAGGAGATGATTTATTGAAATAAAGAGATCAATTGACAAACAATAAGATTATAAACCAAAGGATCAAAACTGGAGTAGAATCGATGTTCGCCGCTGATGTAACCGGTTTTCATCTGTATGATGGCATAGAAAAATGGCATATGTCTAAAAGGAATAAAAAGGTATATATTTTTTTTTTATCTTTTAGGTCAAAACCTCTTTTTTGTTGGGGTAGACTGGTTTGTAATAAATAAGAAATGAGGGAGATTTCGACCAATTTTATGACTTTAACAAATCTATTACAATACTTACAGCTCATCAATTAATAATTATTGTGAAAAAGTCAGTATTATGGCTGAGGAAGTTGCGCATATGCTGATGTTTAAGGCTGGGACATATTCTTTATTCAGCGTTTCCGTACGTATGTCCCTGGGTGGGAATCTATACTAAGTTTAGAAAGAAAAAAGAAAGAAAGAAAGAAAGAAAGAAAGAAAGAAAGAAAGAAAGAAAGAAAGAATGAGATAAAGAGAAAAACGTAGAAAGAAAGAAACCGAGCAAGAAAGAAAAAATATATAAAGAAAGAGAGAAACGTAGAAAGAAAGACACAAACCTAGCAAGAAAGAAAGAAAGAAAGAAAGAAAGAAAGAATGAAAGAAAGAAAGAAAGAATGAGATAAAGAGAGAAATGTAAAAAGAAATAAACCTAGCAAGAAAGAAAGAAAAAAACTAAAAAGAAAGAGGGAAACGTAAAAAGAAAGAAAGAAAGAGAAGACGAATGAGATAAAGAGAGAAACGTAGAAAAAACTTAGCAAGAAAGAAAGAAAAACCTAGAAAGCAAGAGAGAAACGTAGAAAGAAAGAATCCTAGCAAGAAAGAAAGAAAGAAAGAAGGAATCAAAGGACGAATGAAATAAAGAGAGAGACGTAGAAAAAAAAGAAACCTACGAAGAAAGAAAAAAACTAGAATGAAAGAGAGAAACGTAGAAAGAAAGAAAGAAATCTAGCAAGAAAAAGAAAGAAAGAATTTTATGATTTAAATTTAACGATGTATCAACTTCAGATGGGTTATTTAATGTTAGATATAATAATTATAAAACAAAATCACACATAATTAATAGAAAGGTAGACATAGGTCTTACTCCTCTGCACACGATGAAGTTAGAATAGTCGAAGTCCCACCAATAGCGTAGAACAAAGTAAACGATAATCGTGTTCGTAAAGATAAAAAGATCGTATTTAGATTGTATTTAACTTGAGTTTATAACAAACGAGAATGTCTAGTTAAATCAGGTACCTTCATAGATTCGCGATATTTAAGGTTTAAAATGATTTTTTCTAAATGAAAAATTGTTTTCATTTTGCTTTGAAGCTAACAGATTAAGGTTAATATTTCCAATAAACAAAATAGTTTTCTGTATTTCAAAACTAATTTAAATTGACTGGAAAGAGATTTTTTAATAGTTGATTAGTGTCCTTTTTTCATCGCAATGTAATTCCTATTATTAAAAAAAATCTTCCAAAAAAAAATATACTTTTTTGAAATTTTATCTGAGGAAAATTAGTTGATTTAAAGTTTAATTAATCTGATTTGAAACAAATATTATTTACTTTAAGTTTAAAATATACCAGAAATTCATTTTAACATGAGGGTAGCTGTTTATTTAAGCTGTTGACGTGTTGATAGCTTGATGACATATGAATGTTTATCTAAAGTTGATCTATGGAGATTTATCCGTAAGAAATAATTGGAGAATATACCGTGAGTTCCTTTTATATAGAATTTTTAAGTACTCGGTAATCTTAAAAAATTAATATAATTAATAAAATATCCTTCGTAATTTAATTCCTTATTGAATTTAAATACTTTGGCATTAAATTTACTAGAGTTATTGCTATTACTTTCTGTTAATGTGAATGAACAATGGTACCTACAAAAATCGGCACGTTTAAACACATACAAAATATTCAAAATTCTTTTTAAAATACTAGAGCTCATTAAATTTAATAAGCTTTATCATAGGTAAATATAGTTTTTACTTAATAACAATATTTCTTAACCTTTAGACCATTGAAAATGAATTTTAAAAAATTTTAAATTTATGAATTATTCTAATTAAAATATTAAATTTTAAAAAATGAAAAAAAGATCTTATAAAATTCATTATTCATCAAAAAAATTTTTTTTCTTAAGACAATCGTGTTCTTAATATATCTTATTCGTAATTTATAAGATACAAATAATATATATATATTAATATATCTTATTCGTAATTTATAAGATCTAATAAGATATATTAAAAGCTTTTCTAATTAAATAATGTTTTAGTTTTATTTCATTTTTTTATTTTACAATTGAAACAGATTTTTGTAAGACGAGGTTCGATTTTGCAAAAAGTTGATGATTTCAATGTTCCAATGAGTTCTGGTATTAATTAATTAACTAATATAGTCATTAAAATTATCTCGTGAAATTTTTCATAAAATTACGTAAGTGGGGTGTAACGCATTTAAAAAAAAAGTTTTTTGCTCAGATTTTCTAAAACAATAATTTCATTCATTTGTGAATAAGTCTTGAAAGTTTAACCTGAAATGAGTTTTTGTTGATTATCAACATCAAGAAAATCAATGTCCATAAGTCAGAATGACCCTACTCTGCCAATAATCGGCATCGATATCGAAGTTTGAATTTTTTTCTTTCTAATTCCCTCCCTGCAAGTAAGGCGATAAAATCACTAAGACGCAAGTGGTACCTAGAGTGAAGAAGAAAGGAAAACAAAAAAACAGAATACAACGAAATAGAAATGACGATTAACGTTGCATTTAATTTTTTATCGTAGTTGACAGGAAATCAAAAATGTAGAAAGGGAGTTCCACAAGCGAGAAGTGAGAGAGAAGAAACTGTCAGCATAGAACTTGCGGTTGTATCTCGTAATTACAACAGTAAAATATTTATACATAACTATCAATCTCATAGTGTGCTTAAATCCTTGATTCTTTCTATCCTCTATCTTTACAAGAGTTAAATCGGGCAGAAATTTGAATACTACTGCCATACATGGGCAGGAACGCCTAGTCTTCATTTTTCGTTCTCGACAGAGTTCAAAAGCGTCTCCGCGTCCTTGTAGGCGATGAATTATTTGTCACCCTACAACCCCTTTACCACAGACGAAAGCCTCTCACTACTCTATTGCTATTTCCATGGAAAGTGTTTAAACGAGCTACCTTCCTTAGATCCACCATTTCTAACCTTCACGGCTAAAACCCGGCATGCCTCGCCCTTTTATAACGAACCACCCTCATTCCCTTCGTATTCCATTGGGGAGATATAAATTCGACTCTAGCAGTTTCTTCTCACGAGCCGCTGGAAGCGACTCCCAAGAGAATGCTTCTCCGATCACTACAATCTTAACCTGTTGAAGTCGAGGCTCAATTGTCATCTTCCTCACATATCCACGTAAAGTGTGATTCTTAATCTGCAACCACAAAATTCAAGGTGTACAAGGCGGGTACACTCTGCTTTATGTCCGTAAAGACTGATGAAATTATCCGCCTGGATAAATCGCTGACAACGTTTTTACCTTTGGCTTCAGATGGTTAGACAAAGTCACCAAGCACCACCGTGTTGGAAGAAACTGGCTCGTTGTCAGTCTCTTCAGTCAGTGTCGACTACGATCACTGGAACTGAAGGAATGATAATTGCATGCCAAGTCATATACGGTGAACTTGCTACATGGCAACGCACAACAGTCCGTTCAGCTTCGCGTTTCAACGATGTCTGCGCGACCTGAAACTCCCTTGCATCGACCCAGACAAATGGGAATTGGTTGCAAACAGTTGAAAAGGTCAGAAGTGGCGAGGAAAAGCGGAACCAATAGCTGGAGCCAGTGTGGAAGAGACTGTCATTCAATTGTCGATCCACTTCAGACAGTGGTTTCAAAATGAATGATTTTGACCTACAAGATGTTTTCATGTTCTTACAAGATAGATGCCGACTAATATTGATAAAATATATATACAAGAGGCATA